ACAATACAACGGCGGGTCCTTTTGAAAACAATTTTCCTCTGAGGAGCACAACAGCCACCACCCAGGCGGGCACAAAATAACAGAACCACACACACACGCCAATCAAATAATTTACTCTATACTTCAGCACGCGCCCCCGGCCCTGAAAACATACACTACCTTTGAAAAAAAACTCTGCCATTACTAAATTACAACACTTGATTTCGACAAAAAGGAACCGAAAAAACACAACGAAAATAGACGGTCCCCTTAAATCATGAAAAAGGCAATTACTGTATAAGGCAAGTGTGCTATAATTAATACCTAGTAATCATAGTTACATGGTTATAAATCTCATAAACTACCACGATATCCGATTCAGTTTTGAGAAACCTTACCCTTTGATTTGCGCAAATGCTGTAAGACAAAACCTTACATATTAAGGAAAATCTTGAGATGCTTTGAATTACCAAATAGGTCCTCTTCAAAGAAAAATTGGAACAGTACTAACATTAGAAACACATGACAAATACAATATGATAATGAAAATATAATATATAACAAGTCATTTCAGATCGAAAAAAAATATAAAAAGCTCTAAATTTAAATCCAAAGGAATGCAGGTCAGCAATACCTCGCATCTTTTCTCTGCGTGTTTTTGTGGCCTCAGTACGAAGTATACTTAATAAAATGACCTAGAGCTGTAAATCACAAGTATAATCAATCATTCATTATCTCTAATAATACCTATGACGATTCCTGCACATGAATTTAACATATGCAGACCGTCTGTTGAGGTAATCACCGAGTTCCGCACTTTACGAGCAGAGCTCCCCGCAGAAGCCAATACTTTTCCTCCCTATCCTTCTCTCAAACGCCCAGCCGGCCACAAACATAAATGTTAACGAAATCCAAACAAGTCAGGTCAAAACAAAGAAACTTGCTGAGCATAGAGGAGATGCGGCCAACCCACGCCGCGAGGCAAGGGGAAAAAAAAAGAAGAGTCAAATACAAGGGAAGACAGCTGGAAGCGAAAAGAACACTGCGACAGGACGAACCATGTGAGGGACAGTCTACAGTGGACGAGAGAAGCCGACCGAACAGAAAACGGTGGAACAACAGAGATGGCGACTCCTGAAGTTTATATATATACAAAACACTATGTGATGCTTGTGTATATATGAGAAGAGAGGAAGAGAAGGGTATGTGGGACTAGTGCGTTGTGGAACGGGTGGGCGAGTGTATCTTAAGCAGAGAGAAGAAAAAGAGCGGCCAGATGGAGATCACTGAAGTTCTAGCTGGGCGTCTCTCTCTCTCTCTCTCTGGAAGTGAGCGATCTCGGGATCTCTGACCGGGGAAAGGGAGCGGTAGAAGGCTCTCGGTCTGAACTACCGTCTCGTGCGTGACGGGACGTGCAGGATACTCTCGTCATTCGTCTCGTCGTCTCTCTCTCTCTCTCTCTCGTCGACGAGAGAGGACGGGAAGCAGGAGGAGAGAGAGAAAGAGAAGAGAGGCCGGAGGCGATGAGAGAGAGAGGAGAGGGAAGCGGCGTCTCGAGAGAACGAGGCAGCATGAAGGAGAGGAAGTCGGGCCCGGCGCGAACTCGATTGGGAAAACATAGGGCAATCACGGCGACAGTCGAGCGGGAGAGCCGAGAAGCAGCGACTTCGTAGAGAGGGAGGGCCCAGCATCGCATAGGGAGGAAGGCGGAGGAGAGGAACAAGACGAAGAAGGAGAACTACGTAAACACCAAGAAGAAACTCGAACGTGGCGGCGGGGACGACTCCCCGACGACATGGCGCGGGCGCGTCCCAAGCGCTCCCCAACCAGTCGCCGGAATCCCTTTTTTCAACCAGATGCACCCCGGAAGAACCGCTATTCACAGGCCCCGGAACCGCAGAACGCACAAAAGCGCGACAACCCGCCGACATAACACCCAGGTGGGGCAACCGTCACCAAGAAACAAACGTGAGCAACAGCCGAGAAAAAGCTGGTGCCCAAAGACCGTCCGCAAGGCCTGTCCCCGGTCCGAACAATGCCAAGGGAAGCAACTACCGCGAGCCTTGAAAAACCGCCTCGGGGCAGGCACAGAGGCGGAGAAAAGCCAGCAAAAAATGGGAAATAGTGAAAATGGAGCAAGTGAGAGCGAAGTGAATAAATTAGTCGTAAAGATAAAGAAGTACGAGGCAGTCGGAATAGAACAGCAAGCGATATCCACGCACCAGCGGCATGGGGGAGGCATGACCCCGTGCGGATAGTAATATAAGAAAAGAAGAGAAGACAGAAGAGTAACATAGAAGAGAGGAAGAGAGAAGACACACACACACACAGACACCACACACCACACACACAGAACACACACACACACACACACACACACACACACACACACACACACACACACACACACACACCACACCACACACACACACACACACACCACAAAGACGAGAGAAAAAGAGAGAATAAGAAACTAGATAGATGAAAGAAGATAAAATACACAAGAACAAGAGAGAGAAGAATGATAAGACAGAAGATAACTAAAAGAGAAGAATGGGGGGTGGACACACACACAACACTACACACACACACACACAACACACACACACACACCTACACACACAGTACACACACACACACACCACACACACACCCACACACACAGACAAGATAAAATAAGAGAGAGAAGAGGGAGAGAGATAAAGAAACACAGAGAAGAAATAAACAGAAGAGAACAAACAGAGAAGAAGACAGACAAGTAGAGATAAGAAAAATAGAAATAAGAATAAAAAGAGAGAAAGAAGGAAGAGATGAAAGGAGAGGAAAATAGAGAAGAGAGAAGAGAATAGAGAGAGAGAAAAGAGAAGAGAAAGAGAACCGAAGAGAATAAAGAGAGAGGGGAGAGAGAGAGGAGTAACCAAGAGAGGCGGGAGGGTCAGAGGAAGAACCCTATCGAGAGCCTAAGACGACTTTCTAAGAGGCGCTCCCCCTCTACCTCTCCCTCTCCTTCCCCGCCATCCTGTCCCTGCGTCTCGGACCGAAGCCGGACGAGCGCGCCCGCAAACACCGAGACGAGCAGGTACCACAAGCCCAAGAGAGCCCAGAGAGGAAACGAGAGGCGGACACCTCTAGATGCTCACTCCTTCCTCTGATGCAGACTGACTCACTACCAAAACCCTCTCCCTACGAGATGATCCAGAGCCCTCTTTTAATTTCAGGAAAGAAAAAAAAGGGAAAAAACAATGCAACAGACAACCATGATGAGAGTACCCAATAACCGAAGAGAGACAGAGAGAAGAGAAAAAGAGGAGAGAGAGAAAGGAGGAGAAAGAGGCAAAATAGATGCACTAGGCATGACTGGAGAGAGCAAAAAAGCCAGACCCAAGTACAGATGCACAGAAAGGAGAAAGAGAATTAGAGCGAACGATAAAAAAGATCGAACCCCAGCCCCGGAAGCGCGGTCGCCGTGCAAAACACATAAGCACCCCCCCCGCCCTCCCGCACCTCACCCACCGCCGCCCCGCAGCCCCACAGCCCAGCGACACCCACCCTCCCACCCCCACGGACCGCAGCGCACCACGACCACCAGGCACCAGCAGCACCACCACCCCGGCCCACTCCCTCCAGCCCCGCCACCGACCCCCACCCTCCCGCACCACTCCCCAGGCCATCCCGCGCTCACCCGACTGCGCAGCCAGCCGCCACCTAACGCCAGCCGACCCCCCACCAAATACGCCCATCGACCCACCAGCCACTCCCCCAGCCCCGCCGCCGAGTCCGGGCATCCCCCCGGCACCCCCCTCACCATGCACCCGCCAGCCACCCGCTGACTCCGCCCCCCCAGCCGCAGCCGCCCACCATCCACCCCAGCCGCCACCCTCACCGCCGCACCCAGCTCCATGCCCCACCGCCCCCGCCCGACCCCCATGCCACCACCAACAACCCTGCCAGCCAACCACCCACGACCCGCCAGCACGTCGCCCGCCACCTCCCCACCCATGCAGCCGCTACCACCGCCACCCCGCAGCCCCGACCAGCCTACCGACCAGCCCGCCCACCCAGCCCCACCCTAGCCAATGCCCGCCCACCAAGCCCCCTACCATCCACCCGATCAGCCGCCCGACCAGGCACCCGACCACCGACCCTCAGCCAGCCTCTCCCGATCCAGCCGACCCTCCGACAGCCTCCGACCAGCCACCCAGTCAGCCTGGCCCACCAGCCCACCCGAGCAAGCCGTCCCGACCAGCCCCTCTCCCACCCCATGCCACCCGATGCACCGCCCCACCAGCCGACCCGTAGCAGCCCGCCCGACCACGACCCGTGGGCAGCCCGGCGCGGGCGCCTAGCCGACGCGACCAGCTACCCCCTACCCCAAGCGACCCGTCTCCAGCAGCCGCCCGACACGCCCTCGGCTCTCTCCTATCCAGCCCGACCGCACCCTCCGATGCCCCACTCCTCCTCTCCCCCAGTACCTGCCCCGACCATGCCCACCCTGACCCCATCCTCCTTCTCGCGCACCATGCCACTCCCCACCCGCCGGCCCGACCATGCCCGACCCCTCATGCTTCACGCCCACGCCCCATCCTCGCCCGCACCCTCCCTCTCTCCCGCCACTCTCCCTCTCCTCTCTCTCCTCTCCCTCTCGCTCCCTCTCCCCTCTCTCTCCCCGTCTCCCCTCTCTCTCACCTGTCCGTTCTCCCGCTCCCTCTCATTCCTCGCCAATCATATCTCTGTTCATTCTCCCTCTCCCTCTCCTCTCCTCTGCCCTCTCCCTCTATCTCCTTTCTCCTTCCCTTTTACCTTACCAGCCACCATCCAGTCCTAACCCCGACCACCGTCCCGACCAGCCACCCTAGCAGCCCTGCCCTACCAGCCCCACCCGAGCACCGCCCGACCACCGACCCGGCAGCCTCCCTTCCAGCCGACGCACCAGCCACCCAGCCACTGTGCCTACCAGCTTACCCTGACCAGCCTGCTCCCGTACCACGCCACCCGACCAGCGTTCGCCACCAGCTCGACCCTGTCAGCCCCCCGCCACCACGCTACCATCCTAGCCGCCATCCTACACGGCCCCACCACCGGACCAGCCACCCGGCAGCCGTGCGAGCCAGCACCCGACCCATGCGCCCCCACCAGCTGACCCCCAGCCGAACCACCAGCCCACCCGCCAGCCTACCCTGCCCCCAAGACCCAACCAGCACCGGCAATCCGCCTCGGCGCAGCCGACCCTCCCCCCCCCAAAAGGAGCAGTAGGTGTAACGCGTTGGGACGTCGGGGCGGCGGAAAACTCAGGTAGCTGCAGTCAGGATGGCCCCTCCGGCCCGCCGCACCAATCGCCTCCCCGCGCCCCCATAATGCGTGCCCGTAGGCTTCCTCCCCAGCCGCGCCGCAGGTCCCTCCAGCGCTGCGGCCACGCGCATGTTCGCCTCCTGCTTCGCCACCGCCGGCCCCTCCCCGTCCGTATCCCCCCTCCCTCCAACCCCGCGGTCCCGGCTGCCGCTGTGCCCCCCCCTGCCATGCGGCCTTCCGCCGGTCCTCCCGGCGCCTCTTAACCTCCCCCCGCCTGCGGTGCTGTTCCTCACCCCTCGTCCCGCACTCACCCTCCACCGCCCAGCCCCTCCCGCCCCTGGGCTCGCCCCCCAAGGGCTCCGTAATCGCGGCGGGTATAAGCGGGCGCATGGCTGTGCTCCGGAGCCTCAGATCAGCCGGTCCGATCACGAAGCGGTAGGTGCTCCACATCACCCACATGCCGTCCCCTCTCCCCGTCATCTGCATCGTCTCGTCGTCTCGTCTCTGCCCTCAGTACGTATCTTCTCTATGCATCACCTCACAACTCACTCACTCTCACTCACTAGAAACCCGGTCTACCGCTCCTCTCACATTCCCCTGCATACCTCTATCTGCTCTCGCTCACTCACTCTCACTCCATCTGCCGCGCCCCAGCCGGCTACCGCGCCCCGCCGCCCTTCCCTCTCTCCCTCCTCCACGCCCCGCCTCCTCTCTCGCTCTCTCTCTTCTGCTCTCTCTGCTCTCTCTCTCTCTCTTCTCTCTCTTCTCTCTCTCTTCTCTCTCTCTCTCTCTCTCTCTCTCTCTCTCTCTTCTCTCTCTCCTCTCACTCTCTCTCTCTCTCTCTCTCTCTTCTCTCTCTCTCTCTCTTCTCTCTCTCTCTCTCTCTCTCTCTCTCTCTCTCTCTCTCTCTCTCTCTCTCTCTCTCTCTCTCTCTCTCTCTCTCTCTCTCTCTCTCTCTCTCTCTCTCTCTCTCTCTCTCTCTCTCTCTCTCTCTCTCTCTCTCTCTCTCACACACACACACACACACACACACACACACACACACACACACACACACACACGTAATAACCTTGCCTAATGAGTTGGACCAAATTAGAGTCATTTTAACCATTACCACCATTAGGGAGAATGAGATAGTGAATTTGTGTGTCCGTGTGCCCGTGCGCGCGCGCGTGTGTGTGTGTGTGGTGTGTAATGATTATTAATAATATAACAATAATAATAATAATTTGGGGTTTGCTGTGACAGGCTCTTTTGACAGAAGTCTTGTGGCTTGTCTGTTTATTGTGCTGCTAAACTACCCCTGTGTGCGAGGAATGGCCAGGGTTACCATCCACTGGTGGTGCGCGGGAATCGAGCGCAGGTACGCAAGATTACTAGACGAAAGCGCTACCACGGCACCGTGTGTGTGTATGGGGGGGGGCAAGGGGATGGGGAGGAGGAAAACAGATAGTGAGATAGGTGAGGAAGGGTGAGAGCGAGTTATACGTCCCGTTGTTTAAATTGTGTAAGGCCAGACTTAATGAACATTTTCTATACAGACATGCATATACAAAGAAGTAAAAGCATATCCATCAGTCTAGTCATGCATATCTACCAGGTAGATAGATGTATAAATATATATATATATAGATATAGATAGACAATTATGCATTATTTCTGTGTATATGCATGTCTGTATATATGAATATTCATTGAGTCGGGGCCTCGCACAATTTCAACAAACTGGCCGTTAGTCATTAGTGGAATATCCATATTCATTTCTAAGAGCCTGCTCTGATTGGTTGTCAGTGTTATGTCCATCTAATTTACTGTACTGAGGGAATAGAAAATGTAATGGAGGGGAAACTAAAGTTTGTGCGTTATACCAGTAAGAATAATATATTTTGATATCTTCTAAAATCAAAATATCGGAAGGTCGATTAAATATTGTTTAATTACTATCCTTACCTATACTCTAAGAGCTAAAAAAATGTTCTAAATTCCGTAATCTGGAAAAATACTAATAGTGACGTCATGGATTACCAACAACGTCATAAATACACCACAGTGCATCATGAGAACGTCATTGCATATCGAATTTGACAGTGGTCTGTACCGCTAGTTTCGATTATTAATTTCAAAACATTCCCGTAACTCGTAATGGCAAGGGTTTTGGATACTAAAAGTGTGGTATACTACACGTGGTGTCCCAAGCCACGGATATAGTATACTATAGACTAGACTATACACATGGCTTAGGACACCATGTGTAGTATACTATAGGAATAACCAGAGATTGGACACGAGGCAATAGGGGAAAGTGTACTCATGGCACACACGTGGCGTGGGTCGGCTGGGGTTTCCTTGCTGGTTATCCTCCCAGCATAAACATACCCAAGCCATGCTCTCTAAGTAAAGCTTGGGGCGCCCCCCAGGCTTATAAGAGATCAGCAGAACTTGACCTCAGTCTCACACCCTCGGCGAACCTGCCGCCGGCGTGTAGGCCGGGCACTCAGCACCGCCAGCTATATCGTGTTCTTCATTGTGATACTCGTGCATTTATTTGTAAATGCGTGTTACTCTTAACCAATACGGAGGACAGCCACATCCGTGTATCACTACTGCCCACCAGTAATTCAGTCAATCCAAATAGGAGGGTTAGAACCTTTTATAAAAAGGTCGAGAGAAAGAGTGGAAGGAGAGATAGAGAGAGAGAGAGAGAGAGAGAGAGAGAGAGAGAGAGAGAAGAGAGAGAGAGAGAGAGAGAGAGAGAGAGAGAGAGAGAGAGAGAGAGAGAGAGAGTCAGAGTCAGAGACAGAAGTGCTATGTTTCATGCCTTGGTCCTCTGATAAGTCCGTTCTCTCCCTCACATTAACATGTACGAGTACCTAACACAGAGTCACCTTCCCATGCACTGTACTGATATCACTACAAGCCAGTGGCGAACCTCCCATATCACTGGGTCTGATGATTTTGTGCCGTGGTAGGCTTACACTACAAAAGTGCATTGTATCTCAATTAATTGGTTTATGTGATCCTTTTTCATACTGACTAGAAGAGTTCTGACAAACAAAACCTCGCCATTATTAAGGTATATATTTCTGTGGAAGCTTTGAAAGTTAAATTAGTAGGCTGTCGGTGCCCAAAGGTCAGCCTGTATTGCATACGCACAAATTAGCACATTGGATGGTTAGAAGTGGCATAACTCAGTTACTTTGCGAAAGTAAACGGTAAGTAATGTTTATTTGCTGTATCAAAATTTTGCATTTAATGTTTTCGCTATACAAAAAATGCCAATTGTGTTTAAAAAATATATTTATCCAAGAAATTGGGGAGTGGAGTGGGTAAATAGTTTATGGTGCATCCGACTTATGTGATAAAAGGTTTTTGATAGATAAAATGTTGGCTACACCAAATGTAGTCAAACAAATTCACCAGACATTGCCTAATTAGTTGACGCATGCCGTAAATTGTGAATTTTCTTCGGTGGTTCTGGGGACTGTAGCTATCTTTAGTATTCTTGTTCAATGGAGGAATGAAGAGTATTGCACAGTCTTATTAAAATATCTTTAAATTGGCTCTTCTTGACAGCTCTTATGCGACCTTCAACAGTTGGGAGAAGGCAAAAAATTAGCAATGTCATTTTATTTCTTATAAATGTGTTCATGAAAATGCACACGGAACTGCAGACTTGAAATTACCACCCAACGTACTGGGGATCATAGACATGACTAAACAAGTTTACCCGGTTACCTTTCACAGCTTCCAAATTGACCCATCAGAGGATCCCTTGATCACACTCCAAGGGCACAATATACTAATAAAGTACACACCTCCATGAGAGATTTTTTCCTCGTCACGTTGTCAAGTAATCCAGACCTGATTGCTTCACACCCCTCTTCTTGAGCGTCCAAGATTCATGTATCAACAAACCTAAGAATTACAGTGGAATTCGTGTCATGACAACCACCATGAATCTCAGTCCGTCAGCAAGTTGAGAGCATAGCACGACGGCCATCCTGTCTCTTAAGAAACTCCGCCCTTGACTTTAGTAGTTCTGGAAATTTCACATATGATCTCCCAACACCGACCCTTAAAGGATCTTTCCTTGACCACTAGTTTATGTTGGGACACACGCTAGCACATCACCTTTCTTCGCTATTATACCTTCCCATACTGCCACATGATGATATCTAACACATTTATTTTGTTTTTTATCTTTTAATCATAAAAAAATAAACCTCATACAAAGTTAATTCCTTCTTTATCCTGCCACACAACCTGGAAATGTCCGATATCAACGTTTCCTTACACCAACTCATCTGCACATAATCAAATATAGAGCAATATTTTCTAATATCAGTAGCCACTGTGGCTACACAAAAATGCCCGATTGACTCAACTGGGCACGTTCTTGACCATATAGGAGACTAGGCACAGGTATTCCAGTGTCACCCACTACCCAAATTCCAAATGTATGAGGTAAAACACGATTTGCAAACAATTTGCCGCTTGTGTTCGCTCAGATTTAGACAAAAAAGGATATATAAGTAATGTGCTATAAGAAAACTGCTGTGCATTTGGTGTCTATGATGGTTAATGGTTAAAAGCGAAATAAATGTGCTAGACATCTAAGGTCATATAGCACTATAGGAAGGTATAGTAAAGGGTGATGTCAGCTGATAGTTGCTATGTGTCAACTATCTAATGTTGGAAAGTTGAAGATGGGTAAGGGGGTTGATGAGGTAAAGGGTTATGGTGGTTTAAGTAAGGGAATTGGATCAAGTGAAGGATATTTATGCATCTGAGGAAGGAGAACAGGTTGTAGTGTGGGGAAGAGATAAAATGATAATTGGGAATTGGAATAGGAGGATGTGTGAGGAAAGTCTCGTGGAGGCAGATAATAGATGGAGTATAAGAAGCAAGGATATGACTTAGGTCTGGTCTGTGGGAACAGAAACTGCGAATATTCCAATGTAGAAGAGCTATATCTTAGTTATTTCATGAGTGAAAGCATCCGTATGTGTTGGGGAATCTGGGGGGAAGGAGCTAGGGGGTGTAAAGGAGGGGTATCAGGAGGCAGGGAATCTGGGGAAGGGCATTGTTGTGACACGAGTGATTCCCGTGTGTATCCGGGAGGGAGTGGAAAGGATAGAGGGGATGGAGGGAGGGAGAATGTGTGTATAGTTGGAGTTGAAAGGGGTGGGTTGTGTTTGGAGGGAGTAGCAGGAAGTGGTGTGAGGGGAACATTAGTTGTAGGAGGATGGATTTAGAGTTGAGGGGGATATGTTGTCTTGGGAGGGATTAGGAGGAAGGGGTGTAGGGGTGCTATGAGTAAGAGGGGGATGGATATCAGGTGGATGGGTATCGGGAGGATAGACATCGGTGCTGGACGGAATTGAGGGGGTTAGGTTGTGTTGAGAGGGAGTAGGATGAAGGGATGTAGGGGGAATATGAGTAGGAGGGGTATGGATATCGGCAATCATGTCGTGTGGAGGAAGCATGAGTTATGGAACTTTGTGTCTCAAGCATATAGCTTTGAATGTCTTCCATAGTTTCTGCAGTGGAGTTGGTTGGAGAGTTTTGTGGGACAAAGGTTTTCTTATGAGGGGGGGAAGAGGAGACTGGTGTCTGAGGAGTAAAGGTAACGGTAGGTGGAGGTGAGTGTGCGGTAGGAGAAGAAGGGGTGGAACGTTTAGTCTCTCTACTGCGGGTAGTGTGGGGAGGGAAAGGGGATGATGTTGGGGCTGTAGTTGAGATTGGAGTGTCTGGATTTAGAGTGGCAAAAGTATTTGACTGGGGGGGGGGTAGAATGTAGAAGTGGAAGTGGGAAGTAGGTATAGGGAGGGTGTAGGGACAATTTAAGGGGGAGGGGGAGTGGCAGAGCGAGCGACATTACTAGAGTAGGGAGTATGAGAGAAACCTTGTCGACATGCTTCCTGTCTGGCTTCACATAAAGTGAGACCATTTTTGTATCTGAGAGGTGCTGCCTCAGACTCAAACTTGTAAGGGGGACAGCCTCTATAAAATACATTATGGGGGCCGCCGCAGTTAGCACATGTATGTGTTTGTGCAGCGCAGTTTGATCGGTTATGACTGGATTGGGCACACAGAGGGCATCAGGCTGTGGAACGGCAGTGTTTGGCAGGATGTCCAAAGCGCCAACAGTTTTGACATTGACAGGGAGGGAGTTGGTATGTTTGAACAGGGAAGGATTGTGACCCCTAGGAGGAATGGTGTAGCAATGTACTGAGTTCACATCTTGGTCTTTGAGGCATCCTAATGTCTTCTCCACAGTCTGACCAATCTTTGGTATCGACTGGGCAGTTTGCTGGGGAGAGAGAGACAGTTCCGGTACAAGTATTAAGGGTTGGATGAGGTTCTGCGGGAATGGGGTTGCCAGAATGATCAGTTAGATTTGATAGATTCAGTTTCTGATCTGACTTGAAAGAGAAGAGTGTTGCTGTAGAAGGTATCATGAAAAATCGGTCCTATTTAGCTCGAATCTGTAGAGTTGGTGGTGGTGGATGGTCGGGGACGTGTGGAAGAGGGAGTATTACGGAGTGATGGAGAATAAGGCTGTAGGTAGTAATAATAAGGGAGGATGGGGTGCTTGATGAAGGTTGTGGGGTTAGAGTTGATGAATTTGAGGAAGTTGGGAGGGTAGGAATGTCTTCTGGAGATTGAGTCTGCTTGGGTGGGTAATGCACTAGCAGGCATTGAGGAGTGGGTAGTAGTTTGTGTTCCGAGTCGTGGTCAAAGGAGAGCCTGGGGTGGGGCTATTTGATAAAGGGGCAAGTATCATTGCCCCTAATAAGGGTATTACATCTTCATTACTGGCCATGGGAAGCCTTGATTATGTAAAGGGAAATAAACAGTCCACCCCCCTGGGCCCTGTACAGGGATAAGGGCTAGACAACTAAATCAGGGGAGTACCGTGCTCATGGTTTCCGCAGTCCGTTCAGGACTAGCACAAGGTCAGCCTTCCATCCTTTCAGCACGGTTCTTACACCTTAGGAAGTAGATAGTAGAAGGGGATGGAGAAGGGACGGAAACAAAAGCTGGAGAGGGAAAAGACCAATCAAAATCAGTTGAGTCGAGGGCTGAGGCCCTAGGCAGGGGAGATCCCTGCAATGGGTCTCAGTCTCCGTCTCCTAAGCCCCCCCCCCCCCACGACAACAACGGGCAAGGGATTGGGAGGGTGGTGTCTATGATAGGTATGGCAGTATAAAAGGTTTATTACAATTAATTTTTCTAAATACAGAAAGTTTAAAAAGGGTTTCATGACAATTTTCTTCGCCGAATATACAAATAATTACATTCATATGTCATCTATGCAACTAGTTTTAGACCTGGACAAGAACAATACATATATATTTGCCCGTTCACGCGATCAAGCGTAAGGCTACCAGCAAAGTGCCCTTCTGGAGCTTAACCAGAAATGCGTCTCTGCTGGTTACATGAAGGTACACGTGGACACTAAGGCAGAGGGAGTTGTTACTGGTTACTCGAGATCAAGTCTCTCGCCAACCACCACAGATCAGTAATTAATGGTTATAGTTGCAGTTATGTAGTTATTAAAGGATATTGAAGGATGACCGAACTCTGTCCAGTTATGTAGAGAGGGATTTAAAAATCCTGTGTGTATTGTATTTAAAGTATGGTAGTGCCGGTATTTTTTTTAAACAGCAGAAAGCAAGCCACTGTTGTAGTTAAATGCTTTTCTTTTCAGTATCACATCCAATAGGTCACTTTGCCTTGTATATATTTATCTTCCCCAAATAATACACAATGGAAAAACTATTTTCTCTCAAAAATTATCTGTATTGCTATTTTCCCTTTTACACCAACTTTTGCAAGGTCTTGAGGAAGTTTTGCCTTAGTCTATGATTATGCCCTCCAGGTTACTTTACAAAGCTTATTATGAGCGAAGGTGCCATCTGTTATGCATAAAAGGAATTAGATGAAGGATATATATACGATCTTTTATATTAAGAGTATAATGTGAAAGCTAAAACAAAAAATATATATACGACGCGAGATCATTACATAATTCTATTATGGAAGAATATAATCGCCTGCATTATAAGAATTAAAAATACCAAGCATTACAGTAACACCGCTGTCTCTTATAGGTTGTAAATGGCAAGAACCTATAAATTTGAAATCAGCAGACTGAGTACATATATATATCATCCAGAATTTCTGACAAGAAGCATCGCCACTGAAGCGCCACCAAGATGTACCGTAGTTACTTTGGATGGGACGCCATTGACAAAATGTACCGTAGTTATTAAAATTAAGAAGGCACCCCACTGACTTTCTTCTTCTCCTCAATGGCTTCTGCATACCACTGAATCTCGCTGACAACTTTGGCAAGATTTTTCTGGATTCTTTCGTCACTGCACACGCCTTCCGAATCGAACTTGCCCATAACCTGCAAATGTAAAGGGAACGTAGTTAGCCAAACCTTTTAAACTTTTACTTACCTTGGTTACCAAAGGGTTTATCAATAGTTTCATCTGTTATTTTTTTAACATTAGGACATACCCAAATCATAATCTCAGTAATACTACTATTAATAATATTAATAATATTCCTAGTAACGATAATAATGGTATTTGAACGATAAATTTCTCACTAAATATACAGATTAAGGAAATCAAGTGAGGTTAGTTAACTCTTCATTAACTAAGTCCCTGTGGTGCCATACAAGAGTAAACAAAATTCTCCTATCTAAACTACAGCAAACGATGCATAGAAGACGAAACTACAGCCGACAGTGCATGGTTCACATGCGTCAGAAATAATCGAACCACAATATTCGTGCAGCCAACTTATTTTTTTCTGTTCTCCCCCCTTTTTGTATTCGGTGTAAAGTGAAATAGTGAAAGTAATAAATGGAAACGAAATGTTTTGAGAAAAACTCATTTACTCTCTTTTCATACTTTCTAAGCATCCTTCCTTAATAAATGGTTATATTTCTTACAAGGTTTGAGAGAAATGCGAGGTGTTCCCACAAACCATTTTTTTCGATGGCAATTTCGCTCATTATTGGAGGCGAGACAGGCCGCTAAGCTCCGCCCATTTCTGTGACGTAATGGGAATGGCCGCGGTTGATGGCTAGTTGTTTTACTGCACTTTTTTTTTTTTTTTTTTTTTTGACAGGTACACTATTTTAAAATATAATATCTTAGATGGCTTTTGATATCTTATTGTGGGTTTTGCGGTATTATAAATATTCAACATAAGTATGAATTTGCATGAAATATCCGAGGCAGGAGGAATGCATCTGGCAGCTCGATAATGCTCGATTCCTGTCGCGCGAGAGGTGTCACGTTCGCCGAATTCGCTGGAAAAGGCGGTGTTAATACCTGTTGCTGCCACCTTTATCATTATGCCTTTATGTCAAAAGTTATTAGTCTTTATCTTCTAAATGCGTATTCTTCTTTACCATTTCATTTCTTTCCGTTATCGACTTTTTAATGAAAAATAGACCCAAAGTAAAGAAAAGGTTATCATGACCATCCCCCGTGTTGTGTGTGTGCGTGTGCGTGCGTGCGTGTGCGTGTGCGTGTGCGTGTGCGTGTGCGTGTGCGTGTGCGTGTGTGTGTGTGTGTGTGTGTGTGTGTGTGTGTGTGTGTGTGTGGTGTGTGTGTGTGTGTGTGTGTGTGTGTGTGGGTGTGGGTGGGTGGGTGGTGGTGTGGTGGTGTGATGTGGGTGTGGTGGTGTGGTGGGTGTGGGTGTGTGTGTGGGTTGGGTGTGGGTGTGGGTGGGTGGTGGTGTGGGTGTGGGTGTGGGGTGTGGGGTGTGGGTGCGTGTGCGTGTGCGTGCGTAAACAAATAGATTCAATAGTATTGCCCTCTCTGTTTCGACCATCTACGAAAAGAGAAAAGGAGAACAGGACTAAAGGAAGAAAATACACGGTCGAAAATAGAACAAAAAAATGAAAAATAACGAAAAAAGAAGACAAAAAAAAAAAAAAAAAAAAAGAAAACGAAAAAAAACAACGGAAAAATGCAAAGAGGCAGAAGACGCCCATCAGACCGCCAGGACACGCCCCTTTCTCACCTGAGGGATGACGCAGACCGAGGGCGTCGAGACCATTCCCAGCTCACTCAGCAGAGGGCGGGCGGCGGCGGCGGATCGGATCCCTCCAAAGCTCCCTAGAAACATGTGAATGGATAAATAGACAAATTCACTGATGAATGATAAATGTAAGTAAATAATAAAACCGTAAACAAGTCATAAATAAAGTCATTGATAAGTAAATTCTTTAATTAGAAACAGATAAATAAACTACCTAATAATAAATAAATGAATAAATGACAATGAATAATAAAACAGTAAATGAATAATAAACCAATTAATAAATTAGAAATAAATGAATAAGTAAATAAAACTTAATAAATAATAAATGAAAAGATTAACAGTAAATAAATATAAATACATATATATTCTTCATATGAGTAAATAAAAATTAAGTAAATAAACAACAAAAATAACTAAGAAATAAAAATCAGGATGACCAAATAAATGATGAAAGAAAAAAAACATCAACATAAATTAGTTAAGAATAAATAAATAAAAATTAATCGAAATATTTATAATAAAACAAGGAATAGTTTTTTTACATTATTTGTCTACTTTTTAGCATAATCTGAAAACAAGAAAAAATATTGTAAATGATGACGACGAAAAATATTTAAACTATATGGCAATAAACAAACTTTGGGATAACGCAAGGTAATTTGTGGTTATCGCAGTCAAAACATGGAAATATTTGACATAAAACTTAATACTTGTTCACTCCTTAAGGTAATCCTAGTAACACATGCCCTCTGGATAAAAATATTATATTAATAAATATAGAAAAAACTAAGCAGGAACACTTTCTTTTTGTCCAACTAACAGCTGTCACACTTAGGCTGCGTCCACACCAGTGACATGTTGCTTGGAGACAAATTTGAAACACTCGGGGCGGGGGGGGGGGGGGGCATAATAGGAAGCATTCGGATACAAATATCCTGACTAATGGGACACGTCTGGTTCAATGTTGAGAGACATGTCGGCAATAAGAGTCGACTTGGTGGAACTGTCCGCACCATGTTGGTCTGTTGGTTGGTGGGAGGTCGCTGAGGACATCACCTCGTCCACACCTTTGCTAACATGCCGCCCAACAAATCCGCACCAACATGTCTACTACGATGTTCCTCACTGACTTAGCAGCTTGTTACCAAACCTGACAGTCTTAATTTTCCCATCGTGTTTTGGCGCTGGTTTGGACGAGGCTTCACACTTAACACTTATTTCCTTTTCGCTCTACTATCAGCTTTCATACGATGATCCGCCCTTTAAATAAAAGAAACAGAGCACTATTAATTTTTTGCTCTACTTACAACGGTCACATTAACACACACCTCTTTGATTAAAGAAAATTATTCAAACAAATTAAAATACAGAACACCATTTACTCCCTATCCCACTAACGACTCTCACACCAACACATGCACGTACACACATACTCTCCTCTCCGCATCGTACTAAGCCACGGAGTCGGTGACAACAGCACACACCCCTTAAATAATTAGGTAAATAAATAAATAAATTAGCAACCTACTAAAAATCATTTCTCTCCATCCTGCGAACAACACACACCTCTCATCTCTCTCGTCCTATGAGTAGGTGACAATAGAACACGCCCTTAAACAAACAAATAAATATACAACCTCTAGAAATCAAACACATTCCTAACATTTCATTTCCTAACACTTATTTCCTACTAACAACACACACCTTCGTCTCTCATCGTGCTTACCCATGGCGTAAGTGACAATAGCACACGTCCCTTAAATAGACAAATATATAAACCTCTAAAAATAAATAAATAAATAAATAACACTCTCCTTCTAACAACACACACCCTCGTCTCTCATCGTATTTACCTATGCAGTAGGTGACAATTGTACACGCCACTTAAATAAACAAATAAATATATAAACAACCTCAAGTAATTAAAAAATTAAAAAAAATATATTTCCTCTCCTACTAACAACACATACCCTCGCCTTACCCATGGAGTAGGTGACAATAGCACAGGGTTTGTGTCTGTACGAGGCTGGAGGAAAATGGTCCATGATGGAGGTGAGTGCGGGCGGGAGGGTGCTGTTGTATTCAGGGGTCACTATTACAAATCCATTGGCTGCCTGGATGGATGCGTGGGTCGTCTTCATCCACTCCGGGGCTTCATCTTGGTTCTTCATGAAGTGGAGCGGTTGGTGGATGTGGCCGTCCTGCATCATAAGAGGGTCTGAAAAGATAGGGTGGTCGGGTGAGTGGAAAAAGAGTGGATTGTAAACATTCGAAAGAGCGCTTGTGATCGGATTGGAGTGCATTCTCAATCCACGGAAATGTTGTTGTGATTAGAGAAAAGGCGCATTCCCAGTACACGAAAAGAGTGTTGGTCTGGAAAGCCAGTATAGTGTTCTGGATAGAGAAAATGCGGATTCTAGGTCCTCAGAAAAAAGTGTGTAAAGCGTTGTGTTCCTCAGAAAAGCATGTATGGTGTTCTTGTTAAAGAAAGAGCATTCTAGATCAGTGTTGTCCAAACATTTTCACCTATTGTTCCCTTTGTTACCTTCTTGTAATGTTACGTACTCCCCTCTCCACCATAGCTAAACAAAGTGTTTTATTTAGGATAATGCAAATAATATACTAATTATGAAAAGACTGCATTGCAGGAGTGTTGGTTAATAAATTCGAATTTAATACACGAATAAAAAAGATGACTTAATAACAAAATGCTTGAAAAATACTTACACAACTTAATGTGAGATGTGGGGCATGTGTGTTCACGTACCCTTATGATCTATGTTGCGTACCCCAAGGGGTACGCTGACCCGTTTGGAAAACACTTCTAGATCCTCAGAAAAAAAAAAAAACGTTTTCTGTATAGTGCTCTACTAAGAGAGAGCGCGCATCCTTAACCCTCAGAAAAGCGTGTATACTGTTCGGAAAGGAGCGTGCTCTGAATCTTCAGAAACGCGTACATGCCATAAAAACAAATCGGAGAAGATAATCAGTATGATAATATGTACGAAATCTCCGAAATACGTGCCATGAAAACAAATCGAAGATGATCAATTATAAGATAAAATAACCGTAAATAAAATCACAAGAATAAATATGATGTACAAGTTCAATAAGACTATAACAGATTATAAACTAAAGGACAAGAGAAATGTTTTTTTCTTTCTTCCTTTCTTTCTTTCTTTCTTTCTTGTGTCACGAGATAACATACATGGTTAATAAGATATAATAAGCAGTTAGATTTAACGGTAAGTGAAAGACATGAGAAATTTCCTTTTTTTGCGTGTGCGGCAAAAGGGTGTGGTCGCCGTTCATGATCATCAGAGTTGAAGGCCGTTTAAACACGAGCTTAAATAAAGGAAAAAAATAATAAATCAAGAATTAAAAACGGTAAGCAAAGGGCTGAGCACAAAAAAGGGGAGGGGGTGACTGGCAAAGTAGAAGGTTAAAAAAGCTTAAAAAATAAATTGTTCGTGAAATAAATATCTCTTTTGATCATAGTCCGCTGTACTTGTTGTGATTGTGGTTGTAGATATTACTGTTTTTCTTGTTGTGTTGGCGGTTGGTGTAGTTGTAATTTTGCTTGTGGTTGTTGACGCTGTTATTGTTTATGGGGTTGTAGAGCTTTGTTATAGTGGCGGTTGTAGTTTTCCTTGTGGTTGTAGTTGTTGTGGTGGTGTTATTGTGGCTGTTGCTCTGATTGTTTTTGAGGCTGAGGTTGTTTCCAGACTTGTAGGAACACTACATATAAAACACGGGTTGAGACAGACCAAAACGTTCAACGAGAAGGCGAATGACGCTGTTGACAGTGTTTAGAAAAACTGTCGAACCATTGCCAGGAAAAGAGGAAGAGGCAGAGAGGGAGAGAGAGAGAGAGCGGGGGGGGGTAAAGGGAAGGAGAGGGAGGGATGAGTGAGGGCGAAAGAGAAAGAGCGAGAGAAGAGAGAGACAGAGAGGGAAGGGGAGTGAGAAAGAGAGGGAAAGGAGGGGGGGAGGAGGGGAGAGAAGAGAGAGAGAGAGAGAGAGAGAGAGAGAGAGAGAGAGAGAGAGAGAGAGAGAGAGAGAGAGAGAGAGAGAGAGAGAGAGAGAGAGAGAGAGAAAGAGAGAGAAGAGAGAGAGCTGAGGCTCACCAGGATGACAAACGGAAGATAAAAAGGGACTAGAAGACGGATGGAAATAAACAAGACAGACAGACAGACAGAAAGTCATAAAAAATGTACATATAAACTATTCGAAAAAATGATTAAAGCGAGTTTGCTATTGCAATAAGTAACAGCTGATGTTTTAGTCTCCCATTACATTATTGACCTTCTGTGTTTGTACGATCAGTTGCCATGGCAACAGTCCCGTTTTTATAATACCACTCCTCCAACAGCTGATGCCATAGCTGTGCGATCTGGAACTCTATACGGCGAGTCAATAACTTCTGAGAATCAAGAAATGTCAATCTATTCGTCCCGCGCCCCCTCCCCCTTTACCCTCAAGTTCCTGTGCGCGGGGACCTGAAAATGGATCCTCTGCCAAAGTAAACACGTGTTGAAGGGGGTCCCCTTGGGTGTCTGCCAACAGTCCAAAGCTTCTCTTGTTTCATGAAAAATGATGGCAAAAGGTGAAGGAAAAATGCCATATGGTTTATCATCTTGCGCGTTTGTACTTGTTTCGATGATGGCTCAAAGCTTGTCTCTTGTTTCGTGAAAAAGTTGTGGAATAGTGTGAAGACGAAATAGTTTTTCTTACTGTCTTGTACTTGATCCTGTGATGTGGCAAAAGTCGCAGTTACCTAGCGTTGTTTTATCTCTTGTTAATGCAACTGGTGTTAATGTAAGAAAATGTTTGCTTCTTTGCATTCAATGACTGATTTTCTCCGCGTTCGTATTTATTAAACAGAATGACAAGAAAACGTGGCCAGAGATTCAATGAACGCACGATATTGGCAATGACTGAACAGTGACCCTGAAGAAATACACCTCTTCATGAAGGCGCGACTCCAAACCAAGTGCAGTTTCTTTAAGCCTTGGAAAACACATCTTTTCTTCACAACCCTTTCCAATAAGCTCCTTAGGTACTGATTTTCCATGCATTTTTTAAAGACATCATATTCAGGAGAGGAGGGGGGAATAACCAATACATGTGAAGATTACGTACAGGTGCTGTTCAAACTGCTGTGTAATCGCAGTCTTAGACAATGGGGTTTTTCATTAACAAGGACTCGAATGATTTGTGTATGTGTGTGTCTCTTTTCCTTCTGCATTTGACACAGTCGCTGGTTAGTTGAAAATAATGGAAGAAACTTAAAGAGCACCTTAGTATTGCCATTACTCTTGCAATTGCAATTGTATTGTCGTTGTTGTTTTCATTGTAGTTAGTAACAGCAGTTGCAGTTCTAAGAAAAGTAATAAGAATAGAAACAGTGGCAGTGCAGTCATACCAGTATTCGAAGTAATGGCAGGTTTATTGGTGAGCTAACAAAAATAAATATCAATAGTAATAAAAAAAATAGTATTTGTCCTAATACCTACTCAACCGCATATATGTATGCGTGTATATACCTGAACCGTATTCATTGCGACAGATGTAGAAAAGGCATGAATACGAATATCTTCATAATGCAAGGGATGCATTTAACCGGTTTCCAATATGTACCAACTAAACCGCGCATATACCTATACATCTATGCGTGTATGTATCTACTAAACCGTATCCCACATTCCCACGTCTTAACACCAACGAAGACTCCTTTTCATGCCCCAATCAGTCCAGTAACCGAGCCCTTCCCTTAACAAACCTCCTCCTGTGGCTCCTTTGGGTCAAGGAATCCTCAAAGGTAGTTTGTGTGAGGACGAAATTATTGTCACGTTTATGGAGGATGGACTCCAATTATCGCATTAAATAACAATTGCAACAGATGAAAGAAAAAAGTCATTCCATATCAACTTCAATTAACTTCCAACGCGTTATTTCAAGTTAACATTGAAAAATATATAATTTGACCCTATTGAATGATCGCAAATAATAAACTATAATCACGGGTATACCATACACTATATGACAATTTAACGCGAATGTCGACCGCAAATACCAACAAACTCAAACACAAAAATTAAACAAGTAAAAGCCACCGTATACCACAAAAGATCCTTTCAAACCAAACACGTATAAAAAAATCTTAAAAACCACAAACCTTCACACATGCACGCAGTCACCACCGAAGTCCCTGCCCGCCTTCGCGGCTTCCTGCCACAAACAAATCATCCACGCCCGAGAGAAAACCGAACATCTCCCTCTTCCTGTCTATCTGTCAGGCGTCCAAGTTTAGCTCTCTCACTCTTCCTTTCCCTATCTCGGCCTCTCCTTGATCGTCGTCTCCTTGCCTCTCCTTCTGTCCGTTTAAGCTCTCCTTTAAACGTCCGTTTCTCCAAGTCCAATACAATTTCTTATTTAATTCTCTTCCTCTCTTTTCTCCCTCTATCTTCGTTAATACACCTTACATTTTTTTAAAGTGGGAGGGCAAGGGCAGCAAAGGGTTACAACACTAATTACAATACGAGTTCGATATTGTGTTATCTGTGTTCATGAGGTAAGGTGCGAAAGGCATTGCTCACTGAACGTTCTTCAAAGAGACGCATCAGACCACCGGAAGTTTATGATTCGAACTTATCATCCGTCTTTTGCTTCCTTGCGTCTGTTTTTCCGCAATTATTAAAGAAAAAATGTGATTCCAAGCGTTTTTGTGTATCATGTCTGTTAAAAGGCCATGGTTCAGCGAAACCATGTTATCATAAGCTGTAATTTCCGTTACTAAAATCGCTGGGGCGCGCTTGACCTTGACGAAAAGGGTTATCATTTTTCACAGTGTTTCGTCTTGTCCGCAATTGTTTTGCTCGAAAGAATTGCTTTGGTCATGAACCAAATTATTCCGGTTTGTATCGATTGGGAAAGGTACCACCATTTGCGTAAACGTGATACTTTGCTATTTGTTAAGCAATGGCTAAATTACATGCGATATTGTTACGTGGTGACGTCATTGTTTACAAAATAATCCAGGTGTGATTCTAAGATTACGTACTTGGTAAAAATAATATTAATAATAATAAAATCTATTAATGCATGATGTAACTTTATTCATTTTACCTATATATATCTAACTTATTCCTATATAACAAAACAGATCACGGGAAGGCTGTACAGCTTTTTTTCTCTCTCTCTCTCTTAACACATCCTCAAAGACATTTACTTCTTTATAATAGAAACGAAAACAAAATTATCTTATCGGCAGCTTATGCAATATATGACACTTGCCTAAAGTGTGGCACTCAAGAGATAAAGTGTCTAGATTAAAAAAGGAAAAAAAAAAAAAACACCTAAAAAAATCTCCCAAAATTATCTAGAATATAATGGGTGACTTTTAAGAATGTCAGTCAACGAGCAGGTAATCTATGTAGACTGAAAAAAAATCATTTATAAAAGGGAAAGGTATCACATTTGGCTTCTTCAATTTCCAAGATTTGACATTACTTTCCCAACATATACCAGCTAAATATTGTCTCACTGCCAAGAGGAAATACAAGAATCTAAGCAGAGTGTGAAATATGGCAATTCAAAACACATGGAAAGTATCACTTTTACCTTCTTCAGATTAGGCTTTTTTTTCTTGACTGGCGAGCGTCTGGTGATAATGAAATGATGGTGAGGGAAAACCCGGAAAAAATCCCTAGCACCAAAATAGGACGTGTACCTCCTATCTTCCAAAGATTAGAAGTAAAGGAATGTATCAGTTCCAGCCCCACCTGGAGGAAGTACAATTCTAGAAGTCTTCGAGGAGTTGAATGAAAACATTTGTTTTGATGTTTGAATGTAAGTGTTTACATCCTAGTGCGCAGGTTTTCTGCGAATATTGCGAAATACGCCAGGACTGATCTGAAGCGACCACCGACCACGGACGCGATAAACAACAGACATGGCATGGCGCTTAGAGTAAGATATTTTCAACAAATATATATATATATATATTTTTTTTGGGGGGGGGTACGGGAGAAACGATACCATGCACAATGAATCATAGACAAATTGATTTTTTTTGTCCCAATATCGGCGGGAATTTTTTATCGGGATTTTAACTTTTTTTCATTTTCCTGGAAATAAATGTCGGTGGGTTCGTTATTCAAAAAATGGTGTGGCCTTACCTGTGCCATTGCCTTTCTATAAGACAAAGAATTCCTCATTCAGTGTTACATTCTTGACTAGAAATGCCCAGAAAAAATACAAGAATCGAAAACCCAAAGAAATGTTTTGCCTCGCCATTCGCCTGTCGTGAATGGTATGCTGAAGGCGGGATTTCCTTGAGGCTGAGAACTCTTTTCAAGGTCTACCCCGAGGGACAGAGGAGATAAAATCATCCCAAACACCGGGTATTTTCACCTATGATCTATGGAGCAGAATTGCATATAGTGATAAAAATAGTAATGCTATTATTATTATTAAAAACAGTTATAGTAATAACGTCAAGGAACATAGTTTCTCTGTGCGACGCGCATTGGAATTTCACGAGCTAACTGTGAAGTATCGATTGTTAGCTTAAACACGGCTCACTGCGGTCGTTTGTATGTCTTTTCTTTTCATCGAACAATTAATGACAGAAGGTAAATAACGTGTCATTGGAAAACTTGATTTCGTTTCAACACTTACCCACAAGATCAGCTTGGTGTTCCTTCTCCCTCAGCATATTGATCACACACTTGGCGACATTTTCACCCATTCTTCCCTCTCGGGTTGAACCAAGGAATACAAGCAAACGAAGAGACATGTTCAGGTCTTGCTAGATCTGCGTGATCTTCAGTGAGCTGTGTTAATCTAGGCAGCGCTTCCTCGCTGTCTGTCGTGTTTCCCCGGCGAGCGTTTGAGGTAGTGTGTTGACCGGGAGGAGGGGGGAGCCGCGAGTAGTTGGCAAAGGCATTCAGCTTTAGAAATTGTGTTTTTTTTATCTTATCACGAGGAAATGTTAGGAGTAAATGCCATGTATAGGACTCTTCTTTTCGTATCTTGGTTAGCAAGATCGCATTATTGATGCATGGTGTTTTTTGTCAGAGCGAGGGATTAAAAAAGAAAACAAAAATATTCACTTCTTGGCATCGATTCCGGTGCTAGTAAGGATGATTTGACGGTTTTCTAAAGCAAACGTTTCGGAAGTTCGCTCAGTGTGCGGGTATGTAAGACAGGCATTATACTCAAGGGTTTATAACACGAGTCTGTGCTTCTGCCGTAGAAAGTGCTGTTTTGACAAACTGCTCGTTCTGCTCAGAGGCGGATATTGTGTACGACAGCGCCAAACGGATTCTTAACGTAAAACTAATGATAACAGATAAACGGCATGGGAGTGATAAAAGCCATGCAACTGTTGTAATGCTACAACTGACAACAGAAATCAGATTCATGATAAGAATACGAGAAGCTTAAATGATATAGACGATAAGCTCAAAAGATTTGCGGCTTGCACGTCGCCCAAATTTACATACACGCACACACATACATAAACATGGATATATCTATATTCATCTATCTAACCCCCCAACCCCACCCCATCCCACCCACAAATGCTTTTGGTTAGGTATTTCTATAGGAAAGGTGAGAATGATCTTCAGACCAAGATTCTGAGGGTGTTCTTGTAGAGAGCAGTATGGTAAGATTTGAATACAACACAAGAACAAAAATTCCCGTTTACGTTAGAGGCAACAGCAGCAGGCATGGTCAAGTTTAATATTTTATTGTAGTGGAGAGGGCTGTTTCACTTAAATCATTATTATTGAAAGGCTGAACGTATTACCGCATTGGTGCGCCACTTCTGGAGTCGCCGTTTAAGTTTTGATGGCGCTGTAATCCAGAATCAGCTGTTGCTTCCATGTGCTAATAGGCATTCCTACTCATTCCTTCTCATTTTATCATGTCTTTGCTGCTGTATACCCCCATGATAGATTCATCAAAGAAAAGAGGTGGTGTGAAACGTAAGCCTCGTGAGTTATCGATTGCAGAGAAATTGCTTTTAAAAAATACTGCCATAGGCTCACTGCCAGCCTTTGGCAGTTCATCAGGGATATCGCATATGCCAGCAGCTTAGGGATCTCCTCTCTAACTTCATTCAGGGTAGGAGGATCACGGATGGGTGGGTCAGGTACAGGGATTGTGATATCCTTTGCATCTAGCCTAACTGCTGG